GCAGTCATTTTGGAACCTACCTAGTTGTGAAGCCAATCTTACCAGCTTTTTCTGCGTGGCAGTCATTTTGGAACCTATCTTTTGTGAAGCCAATCTTACCAGTTTTTCCTGTGTGGCAGTTATTTTGGAACCTATCTTTTGTGAAGCCAATCTTACTAGGTTATTCTGCGTGGTACCAATTTCGGAGCCTTACTTTTTTAAATACTGGATCCGCCACTGATTTGTGGACTTCCAAAGTGTTTTTCAATCAATTGCTGATTAGTTGTGCTTTCTTTACTTTATGAGGTAAATGCTGAGTAAATCTGTAAGGGAACACGATGGTATTATCATTACGAATAAGAAAAAACCGAGGTCTATGGACAACATTTGAGCTCTTTTTGGCATTTTATTCCGATTTTTAAAAGCCCATTGCAAATTGATATGAAAACATTGTACAAACAATTCGTTGATATTTTTCTTTCCGTGAACTAGCAGCTTCGTTGATTTCATTAAGCCAATATTTGACCCAACATTTAGTAATTCAAATGTTGGTACTGTTTGTCGTGGTCTACCAACAATGTTTGGATGTCATTTTTAATGTATTATATGTTGGATGACTGTTGGGCTCGTTTGTCATGACGGTTTTTCACGACACAAACACCCGCCAACGAATGTTTGCTAAATGTTGAATCAAATATTGGACCGCTTGTTATAACAGAGCCGTTATCAAACCCTAAATTGCGGTGCCAATATATAAAAAGTGCAATGATTCTGAACAAATCCTATATTGTCTTCCATATCCTACGTATGCATTTGTGCTTTTTTCAAGATTTTCCCACCACCGTTCTACAGTTCAGTCCAGTTTTCCGTTCCATTCCTGCTGGTAGTAATCTTAGGCCTTTGCATCTCCAAGTTGAATTTTACTCTGTTCCCTTATCTGTCTCTGCTTCTCTTCAAGAAGTTTAGCTTTCCTTTGCTTCTCTTCTTTCTGATTTTGGAATTCAAGGAATTTGATGATGCGGTGTCTCTCGAATGACTGAGCGAATTCCAAGGCTGTCTTTCCTTCTCTGTTTTTGCACATGACGTCAGCTCCCTTCTCGACCAATAGCCGTACGAGATCAAAGTGGCCATTCATGGATGCCGCCATTAGAATTGTCTTACCGGACTTATCAGTTTTGTTGACGTCAGCTCCTTTAGCTGCCAATTTAAATAATCACCATGGTTACAAGTAAACAAAGTATTACTTAAGTACATAGGCGCCAACTGAAATGAAATAGTTACGAATTTATACACACCTAATAAGAATAATTACATTTGCACAATCACTATGGTAACAAGGAAGTACAAAGTTTCTAAGGGGGCTGGAGTTAGGACGCAATAATTGGTTAACTACGAAAATAGAGTCCTAGAAGAAAGGCATATTTCACTGCAGCTTGAAAATAATGTGGATTAAAAGAGAGAAATAGAAACAGAGAAGAGGTTATCGTTGTCAAAGGGTATTATTGTTGGACATTAGATTAATGATAATGAGCAAGCACTATCTGTAGTGCTCATGGTCAGATAACGGCGCGCACAGCCAGTTGCTTCAATTGCCATGGTGTTCTCGTAAGTATCGTTGTCTGTAATTAATCAACAGCTCTATAGGCAATAGTGAATTACATAGATATATATAGAGAGAGATTTTTCAAATCTTAAAGTCCMTATTGAAGAGGTACCTACCAATAAGGACTTCCCCAACATCGTAATTCCCATTAACACAAGCCACTCTCATTAACGGCGTCCATCCATTAGCAGTACACTCCACGTCCACAGGAGCCCCATCACGGATCATGTCAAGTAGCAAGTCATCGTGCCCGCCTTCAGCAGCCCAGTGGACAGCGGTCAAGCCATTTCTGTCACGCGCGTCCCATGACACGCCTCGTTCACGTAGTAGTTTGACAGGTTCTTCCTTACCGGCGTAGCATGCGATCATCATACAAGTCTTGCCGCTTGAGTTCATGTAGTTTGGATCAGCTCCAAGTTCTAGAAGTGTTTCCATTACATCTGTATTGATACACGAAGAAAAGGATTAAGAATAACCTCGTGTTTTTATTTACTATAGAGTTATGAGCGAGTTCTGTGTTATTTTTGGGAGCGTTTTAGGGACGGGAGTAAGAAATCTCAAATGTAAAACATTCACTAATTTGGTTGATCAGAGTGTAACGCATATGCGTGTCTGAAGTTTTATTCTTATTTTTTCACCTGTTTTCTTCACTATCACTGCACACCATGCTGTGGAAAACTTATATCTTATAAAAATACTCTAATACTCCTCCTCTGTGTTTTCGTAGCCAATCACAATAGACTTCAGTAGACCTTACTTTACGTGTTAACGTTCAAAGATTATAGTCAAAATATATATAGCTTGGTTATAGTCAAAATATTTAAGTTCTCACAATGAGACAGGACATAACAGGTTATTCTTGCAATACCTAAATAATCCTCTAGATCTGCACGGAACAGTAAACAGTAAACAGTAACACTACTTTAAACCTTAAAAGATATTTCTTTATCAATGTGAATACAAACACTTTTCTTTGCTTGTTTTTTTCTTTTTCT